GCCAGCGGGCCTTGGGTGTACTGTACAGCACCCAAAAACAGAATAAATCGGGCCCAGCAGGCCCGTCAAGTCTGCCTTAATTCAATTCGTTCTAAAATTCCACACACATGTGACAGCATGCACAAAACATGGGCCTGGACCCGACTTGAATGAAATATTTACCTTAGAAGATGGGACGTGACCCCTTTCTGTATAAAATCGCGTATTTGCACCCATTGTCCGAGGCACTTTGAGACTGGCAACCCCGAGGATGTCCTGACTGCGCCTCGCGGTCATTGGGCAACTCACAGGCCACGACCTCGTGTGGGCAACAGTGGATAAACGCTGCATCCGGCGGAAAGCGCGGAGATGGGCCATCGATAACAATTCTCTCACTGCAGCGCCAAGTGGATCAAGAACGTGCGAGCGTGCTTGTAGTCCACGGGGCCGGCGCTGGGAAGAGCACTTGGCGAATGAACGAGTCAGACCTATATAGCGGGCCACCATGCGCCCATTTCCCACAACACCTGCACATTCAAAACCTGCGCTCTGCATCCACACACGGACTGTAAACCGCTTACTGTGATGTGTGGGCGTTGATTTGAAACAAAACGTCTTGTCACGTGAGCTGAACGAAAAAAATGAACTATGCAGGCAGATAAGGCCGCTCCCTCGTCTTTCCAATATAGCGGACTATGGCAAAAGCTCATGTGTTGGCTAGCCGCTCCATCTAAGATCTATAGAAGGAACTACGGCTGCACGGCGGTTGGATCAAATATCATGCTTTTGCGCCACTTGCGCTGTCTTCAATGCCCCGCTTAAAAATCAAGAAACACGTCAACATGATGGTTTTGGAGCGGTGAAGACTTTGTCCAGCTTGCAACGCCTGGACGACATGGTGTGAGATTCATAAAAGATCTTCCAGCCAATGGATTGCTTGTACCTGTAGCCCTGAACACTACCTTTTTTCAGGTGCGCCCCAAAATATCATCCGTTGTAAAAAAAAACCGTGCTCAGGTCCTGGAGGGACACTTGTCAAAAAAGGTCCACAACTATGAGAAAAAACATGGACGTATTTGACAATGAGAGCTTGCATTGCCTGCTAGATGTTTGATTGTGTTGCCCAATGCCCCATGTCATGCTGCAAAAAAACAGCCATCAGAGGTAGGGAGCGCAAGCAATCAAAACCGGATGGCTGCACAGCCACGACAACCCTAATAACCAAAACTGCCTTCGCCTGGATGGACATTTGGAGGGCCCTGGGTTCTTCTTAGCAAGCCCTTCCCTGTTGTACAAACTGAACCAAGCCTGGAATCATGGACTTGCTGGGCCAAGGTCTCTTTGGAGCAGTTAACTTGGTGACAACTTGCTTTGGTGGCCAAAAACCAAACGCCAAACCCTAAAAAAAAACAGCGCCTTCACTAAAACGACGCCATCACTCAAAAGCAGACTCCGCGCCAAAACCGCACCCCAAAAAACGACACCAAAAAAAGCCAAAACGACGCCAAACGACGCCGAATTGGTGTCACATTGGGCCTCATGTGTTGTCAGATATTGACGGTGTGATACGGTGTGGGAGGTAAGTTGTCATCACTTTTTGGTCGGGTGCGTTGATGTATCCTTTAATGCATCCTGTATTCTCTTGTCTAGTCAATTTTGGCAATTAACATTTGGTGGATGAGATGATTTTCTGTTTCAACTTCAAAGAAGCTTGCCAAGGGAATGTACGCTGTAGTTTCTAATTAGGCCATGACAGAACTTCAAAGCCGTATGGGGAGTTGTGCGTCCCTTGATGAAGGTTTGTCACAATCTTGAGATGCCCACACATGGTCAGATTTGAAGCCCTGTTGAAAGTCCGCTGTTGGGAAAGAACACTTTGCACTTCCAGTTAAGACTAATCCTTTAGTGCTTTAGATGCAGGGTTTGAGGCTGTTTCTACCTTGAAAGTAGCTGGGAGGTCTCTTCTTCCCTTTGAAATGGCTTTTGGCGAGATGCACCCAGGTTTTTGAGTGAATCCCAAAAACTTACTCCACGTGAAAAAATAAACGTCTCTACAGGTATTGCTCGTCTTTACACCCAAAGCCACGGTGCTCGGGAGCTTGCCAACATCTGAAAACAGTATGCAGCAAATGGATCGAAGCATAGAAAACGCACAGATTATATAGCGTGCCCACATGAGAGAACACACTTTGAGCAAACACATCTGACACCGCACATAAGTGCATACATATGCGAGCACACAAGGAAAACATCTAACTACAGCGCGCACATGAAAGCGCACAGGTGAGAGCACGTGTGAGTATGCAAGCATGACAGCACACGTATGAGGAACACACCTGAGAGCATGCCCGTCCCACACACTTAGAAGAAAGCTCGCGAGAGCACAGTTCGGTGGTTATCATGCGTTAGCACTTTACAAACGTGCATGCATCAAACGACCTGTCAAAATTACCGTGAAGTGGCCCTGAGCAAACGGAAAGGTATAGTCAGAAACAAAATGGCTTAAGTCACAAAGCGAGAAATGCAGGCATTAAGTTTGCCAAGGAGTGCTCAGCGCCCCTGCAGAATTTACATTGTCCCTTTGGAGCCGGGGTCTGTCCTGCCCGTTGCATGACACCTAATCGGGCTCACAATGCCCCACCATGCACCGCTGTCACCGTAAAGAAGATCGGGTGCAAAGAGTCTCGCGGGTGCCGGGTGCGCATATCCCGCTGATGCACCTTCTCGGTCGATGACAGGTGCCGACAAACTCCGCCAAGCTGAAGGAGTCGATAGACCAATGCCCATTTCACACTCGTACATCACTTCCCAGGCAAGACTAATGGGACTGTCATATGCCGACCCATTGACCCCCCAAACCACCCTAATGTATACATGGAGTGTCTGGGCTTTGTCGTGTGCACTTTTCGATTGTGCAGAAAATGCTGCACAGAGATGGGAGCACCCACAGGAAGGCAAGGGACAAAGTGTGCAGATCGAAGTCCAGTGCTGATCTGCCATGAAACCTGCAAATGCAATGCTCTGATCTCCTGCCACAAAGTGTGACCAAGTCCGAAAATGTGCAAAGCAACGAGAGCGACTGATTGATCTCGTAAAACAGGCACGAATGCCGAATGCACGGCTTACCAAAGTACTGCACCTGCCACACACAACGACCGTGAAGCCTGAAGAACGAAGATACAACGCGAACCCTGACCACGAAGCCTGCGACCACCCAATGCCCTTAGTTGCGAGCAATCTGTTTGGAGAAAAACCATATGGTCTCTCTCACTCTGTTAGCTGGCTTTGGTTAGACCCATCACTGGCTTTGCTTCGACCCGTCTGCTGATCCGCGTTCCAGCAGCATTCTCTCAATGGGTCGGGCGAAAGAACATCCCCGAAACCTCGTTTTCCCGCCGCGGACGAACCGCGCGGTTTGGTCTGTGTTGCGCGGTCTGTGTTCGTTTCCGCAGATTGAATCCCAATCCGAGGTCTGGTGAAGTCGGTCTTTCATGGCCTTTCCAGGTACGGCACGGGCCATCAGATGGCATGGGCCGCCCCAAGTTCTTTGGTTTTCTTTAGAAGGACCCCCATCCGGCATCGAACCGCTGAAACCACTGTAGCTCATGGTCTGACTGCTGTGGTTACTATAATTTACTATATCACCCTCTCTGAAGAACAGCCTTTCACCCATCGCATGGCCGAAAAGAACATGCGAAACATCCGTTTTTCTGCCGAACTCTGCAGCCAACAACGTCTCCACCGGCAACGAAGCATCTGCAACCACTGCGCGCGCGCCAGAAGCCCCGATCCGTGATGGGATGCGATGTGTCGTGGAAGAAAAGAAGCATGCTATGCCATGGTATTACTACCCTGTCGGCATCTGACATGTCCTCCAACTGTTCACCCAACGATCACCCACTTCTGGGCCCCCAAGCAAAAGAAACGTTACAAAATAGGTATGCTATGGTATGCTCATGCAGATGTTTCTGATTTTTATGTATTTTTGATTGCGCCAATCCTACAAAGAGCGCTGGAATCAGCCGGTCCATCCCAATTCCGCGGGCCGCTTCGTCCCTGCGGGGAACCCGCGTGTCCTTCTGCCGCCTGTCGCCGCGGGAAGCGGTTCATTGGGGTACCCCGCAGGCACACTCCAGTCTGAACCTGAGACGAAGGGCGAGCTTGCCCCAAAATGTCGGCTCCTGACCGCCCCCCTCCTGAGGTTCGATGGCTGGGGTGGGTGCCATGGGGGTCGAATACCACATGGGCCAGGAGCCCTAGGGTAAATACCTTCCTCCAACTTCCACATTCCGAAAGCCTCTCTTTTCTCTCAGCTTCTTGTTACTTGTAGTAATGGCCTCCAACCTACTAGCGATGGCCTTCAACCTGGTAGCGATGGCCTCTTGGTAGAGGGATGGCGACTTCTCCAAGGGGGAAGGTCCACGTAACCATGATTGTTGGAGGGAGGGCATGCCATGAACTTCGGACTTGGTACCTTTTTTGAGCCTCTGCCAAATCTGACGGTCGAGGCTTTATGTTTGAGGTCTTTTGAGAAGGGAAGATGAACCGTTCGAGGGTCCTTTGGCGGTAATGCCTTGAGAGTGCATCCAGTTTCCAACACTCCATGGGACTGCCATATATTGAACCCTGAAACCACCCCAATGTATGCCTAATATGCCATACATGGAGTGTCTGTTAGTTTACCCACTTGTTCTACCACTAAGAAAATGTAGGGTGCGGTTCACATTGAGCCCTCCTAGTCGATCGATACGCCCCTTGCCAATGGGCAGCTGAAGCCCTTCTTCAGATGTTCACAGACACAAAACATGCCCGGTCAACGACCTCATTTTGCGGGAGTTGGTCAGGGTCAGTTGGTCCAAACAAAAACACACAACTCAATGAGCTCAAGGACCAGCCTGGGATGGGACTTTTACGGATGGAGCTTGGACGTGATGGGGGTTCCGGGCATCCAACGAGAACAAAACAACTCAATCCTGCTGGCGACTCATCACCTCGACATGCCACTCATCCCCGCGCGTTTTGCAACTCGCTCTTCGGTGGTTTTTACCCCGCGGCAGGTCGGACGTCAGGCATGATATCTGAGACGGCCATGCGGAGGATGGGATCCTTTTTGCGAGCTGAGCCGTGCGGGCCACTACTATGCGGAGATTCATTTGAACATGTATTATCAAATGACGACCTTGTTCGCCTCTTTCAACATCTTTCTCAACATAAGCTACCAGGAGCATCCTGGGTGTCCAATGCTTTCGCGCAGGTAGGTAGTGGGCTGGGTAGTCCAGCAAGGACACCCACATAGGATGGTCCTGCTACAAATCTTCCTCGTCACTTTGTCTGCCACCCCGTGGGGTGATATCTCTGGTCCTGTCATAGAACTCCTTGGGAAGAACCGTTGTTTGGTTCTCAGGACCCATCGCTGCAGCGGTGGTCCAAGCACGCGGGCATCTCTGCAGTCATTTAAGCGCACGAACGCCCATCTCGCCAGCAGCTCAGTCATTCATCTGCGGCACCTGAGGATGCAAACACCAGGGGAATAAGATAGAATAGGGGAGTTTGATTTCATCTCCGACACTGCCCAAACAAGACATCCAGTGAGTAGTGTTGGGCGATGACAGGCTCCGAGGGACACACATGACCCAAAACTAAGTGCACGGACAGGACAGAATTTGTGAAAACAAATGAACTCGGATTGCCAGGGTTTGTGTCTGAATCGGAAAATGAGTCCAGTCGTACCTCTTTTTTGTTCGGGTTTGATGTCCCATCTTCATCCAATTTCGTTCTGGTACGACTCGACCTACCTCGGGTCCAGGTGCAGGAAAAGGACGTTCCTCACCGACGAAGCAGCCTCAGGGGGCCCCTATGCACTAACCACTGAACCTCAGGAGGTAGGCCGGGAGTTTGAGGGCATATACAAAAAGAAGAGTCTGTCATGAGACAGCTAGCAGGTAGACTTGTTTCTCTGTCACGGGTTTTTGGGGTTAGCTTCTGACGGTAGTTGGAAGGGGTAGGAGCGGTGATAGGTACCCCCAGTTCCAATCACTCGCCCCTAGGCCATCGCCCACCCAAATGCATTTTCTGACCTGGACCTCCTTCCCATTCTTGTCCCTTCGCAGCGATTCCTTCACCCCACCCTTCCTCCCGCCTGGTGACTCTTCGTCAGGGGCGGTTTGGATGGGGCTCAACTTCAATTGACCATTCGACAGTTCCTCGGTCTTGGCCGAGATACGGCCAGGGGTGGTTGAAACAAGGGGGTCAATATGGGTCTTTCATGGTCTTTCTGGGACGGCAGGTTCGAGGCCATCGCCGCGGCCTCACCGGTCCCATGCACTGGGCCAGACCCTTCTCATCCGGTATGAAAGCAAGACAGGAGTGGGGATCTGAAGGGATTTGGGTTGAATTGGAGCTGTGACAAAAAACAAACTAAATTACAAAACATGATCTGGAACTTTTAGGGATTCTATCAAAAGCACCGGCTCTTTGACAAGGGAAAGACCTAAAAAGTGAACGGCTGGCTGTTGACACCCACTCGACGTTCGCTCAGACCGAGCGTGCAAGGAGTGGTGGCGACGCACTGCAACAAACAGACAGCAACGACACAAAGCGGAGTCAAACTACTAGGAGCAAAGGTCATCGCTACTAGGAGCAAGAAACTACTAGTAGCTCCTGGCCTTTTAACTAGAAGCAAGAAGCTACTGGTAACAAAGGGCATCGCTACTAGTAACATATAAGTCCACGACCCATGCGGCTGCCATATTTGCCGATCAGTTGGGGTGGTTGACCTGGGGTCAAGGTATATACCTGGATCCTCCTTTAGGCTAAAAGCAGGGCCGGACCTCAATCCGGCAAAATTTTCCGCCGGATTCCGAAAAATACCAGAACCTGAAAAAACATCCGGATCCAAGATTTTGAGAAACAAATGATGAAAGGTTGGATCATACACAAGAAAACTGCCTGTGCGCCACGAGTAGTTTTTCTGGAACACACTCATTCCACAACCAATCACTGGAGTTTTCCCGTTCCCATTGCCCTCGCCCATCTTCCGACATGCCTAAGAGCAGAACCTCATATAAGCAAAGTTGTGCCCAAGCAAAGACGTCCAAAAACAAGCCAAGGAGTATGTGTCAAGGAACCCCTCTTTCTCTGCAACCGTGTCTCTAAAGCTCCTTTACAAACTCGGTTGCTCTCCAGGATTTTTCAGTTTGCCTCAGGACCTTGACCCCTTAATCAACATAGCAGAACTCATCAAAACCTTCAAGATTCAAAGCCTTCAAAAGACTGAGTCCGGAAAACTACGCCGGAGTACGGGAAATTATGCCGGATTTACGGGAAATTGCGCCGGAGTTACGACGCGCACTTTTTTGGCAAATCTCTGCAAAACATTGAGATTCTGAACAACACACGTTCCACAGCCCAAAACTTGTCCGGCAGGCTCTGCAAACCTGCGTAGCTATAAAGGTTTTCCCAGCGCCCCGACATCCTGAAACAATGGGAAATCAATGGAATACATTATCGCCTTTGTTCTTTCAGCTCATTAGGTACACGTGCGTCGCACACGCAAACGGATCTGATTGAGCCAGTGTGAACCACTGCTGAATCCGGTGGAATGAGAAAACAGCGGAACAGGCAAACGAGCACAATTTCAAGCAAAATTATTCGTCAGTAGCGGATTTACCTTCAAAGAAATGCGGACCACAAAGAATGCAAAGCCTTGAGAAGTGACTTGGAAAAACTGCCGGACCAAATCCAGAAAAACGCCGGAGTTGGAAGTCTGGCGCCGGACCCTGTAAAAGTGCCGGACTGAAGATCTAGGTATATGGCCCGGCAGTCCCAATGGAAATGATCGCAGTCTGTCAGGACACCCTATGAACCACAAATTGAACACCGAAAGCTTTCCGATTGGAGAGTGGCTGGCTACGTTGCTATGACTTGCCGAAACGGTCGGTCAAGGCGCTGCTCCGGCGCTTGGCGGTTCTGATGGATGCATTGGCGGCGAAAACCACTTGACCAGGAAACCACGCGATTACCTAATACCTCGATCTGTTATTCTTTTGTATGAACCAATTGCTTTCAGAGGTGGTTGTACTCCCAAGTGAGTGGATGCGATGTGAAAGAAACCTTCCAAGTGAGAAAGGGCCACAGGGAACTACTGGACCTTCTTAACATTGAAAGTGTCCACCATCGATCGCAGCTCACGGCAGCAGCTCTCTCGGAACCAGCTCCGTGACTGCTGCGAGTTGGTCCCCGTCCGGTGACTTCAAGCGAAGTCACAGGGATGTCAAAGGAGGCCAAGAACTGCAAGCGCCAGTCACCAACAATGGAGACCTGCATGCAAGTGAGTCTTTTCTCAGTCATCAACAAGTTCACAGATCGTCTAATGGATACAGAGAACTCCAAAGTAGCTGACAAAGGTCAAGGGTCTCATTTGCTGGAGCTACAGGCTGTCAAAAAAAGGACACGGGCTCAAGTGCTCATGGTCCATGATGGTACATTGCAACCCCTTCAGGCTAAACCAATCCACTCCAAATGCAGAAACCAACCCTACACACAAATCCATGCATCCCAGTTCCATCCAATGGGGGGTACATCACCCTGTCTCAAATATAGATGCATAGGAACCCATTGGTGTTGGAGAGGTGGATGTTTTGGAGCTCAGAATCATGCCAGGTAGATATAGGACCGGAGAGACAAACGGCTCGTTTCGGTCCGGTTAGGTGTCTGGGTAGGCCAGCGAAGGCCGCATGGGCGACTGGGCGGCGCCGGAGTCGACGTCAATGGATGGATGTCCAAGAAACATCCATCGGCACGCATGGGCTAAGTCACTATTGCGCAAGTAGTCATCGTGTCCATCTGAGCATGCACACAGATCGACATCATCCCTGCGACTGACCATAGGACGTGATTTCCAAAAATCATATCTGGGAAACCGCTCTGTTGGCGAAGCGGTGAAGCGTCTGTTTTCCGAAGCGAAGCTACCTGTCCACCGAGGTCCCGTCTTCCCACTCTGAACATGACTGAGTTCCACGGCGGAACACAAATCTCAGTCCAGGATCGCGCCAAATCTCAGGCGCAAGAGCGGCGCAAGAAGGCCTTGCGCTCGTAGAGGTTCCAAAAGAAAAAGCCGCGGATCTCCCAGTCCTGGTGTTCCGTCGAGTTTCGGATCTTCGACTGGGAGTGACTGAAGAAACCTTTTTACTGACAGTCAGGACCCGACAAATGGTGTTCTTTTCCCTGGAAAATAGAGGTGAACCTCGTAAAACCTGTTTCATTTTGAGTGGGGATTCCGGGAAACCACCTCAAACAAGGTTAAAGTTAAAGGTGATGTACTGGAAAAATAGCACGAGATAAATGCTACGTAGCCATTGAACAACCCAAACAAGTGATCTTGGCATGTCATTACTGTTTCAATGCGCTAGTGACAGGGTGTCTTCCTCATCCGCATTTGGCTTTCATATACACTGTGCCGATGCCCCTACATCCCCTACCGGCTTGCGGCAGCAACGGCGCTATCTGACAGTTGTGACACTGCAATGGTAGCATCATTATTGATCTCATCCAAACAACCATACTGTATGCTGTTATTATTAACAATAGAATAACCATATCTTTTCCTTGACGACTAGCAGTTTCACTTCAAGACTCAGACTCTTACCAATTATATCTAATTATAGTAGATTGTTTTTTCGATTGTCGACTGTAGACATTGGGAATGATGAAAATGATGTTGTTTCCTCACGCAGGAACTGATCCAAACACAATTCTGCTTGAACCCATCAGCAGGTGAACGTCGTTCTCCCTCCAAGTCGACTTCATGAACATCGTCTCCTTGCAGTCCGTTTCGGACCCCTTCTCTTCATGCGAAAGAAAAAAGTGGCCCAGCCTTGCCCTGCTGGTGCACCAGCAGGAAAGGCCAACCCGAATCGTAGTCACATCGAATCCAATAGTTCTTGTCCTTTGGACGCCGTGGCAGCACAGACTCCCCCAGCACGGACCAACGTGGAGGTCGCCATGAATGGAAGGAGGAACAAGACCAGGACCTTTAGTCAGTCACCTCAAAGGGAGCCTCTCTTTGTGGCCAAACAGGCCGGCCAGGCATGACATGGCATGACCTGAAACCAGAAAATGTCTCAAGTTTGGTCAGGTTTTGAAGGTCCTGGAACGATCAAACAACAAGGAAAAACACACATTTTCCGACATGTTGCGCCACCCAGAAAGCACTGTTCAGGCGACCTGGCTCCCGCGGTAGACACGGCCCAGTCGTTGAGCCTCTCCCTGCGCCGCACTCGTCAGCGCCGAGGCTCCGGTTCCGTGGGATGGAACTTCCTCATGATGCGGTAGCCCCCGAGCCGCACATAGTCCTGCACAGCGACGGTAGCTGTTGATGTAAACGTCCCCCGAAAGAGCTGGCACTACTATTTCCTCTACAACCCGGTGGTATTCAGGTTCCATGTTGACGTAAACAGGGTGTACCTGTTTTTGAATAGGTGGTCGTGTGCCAATTTGTAAGGTACTTTGGATGGTCCAGGTGGGTTTGCCTAGATGTCACATCCGAAATAACCCATAACATATCAACCGTCGCATGCGATTTTGGAACGAGTCGTATCGTCTGTGGATCAAATGAGTGAGTTTGACTAAACGGACAATGCCAAGGCATGAGCCAACAATGAACCATAATCAAAAAGGAATGTTGGAATTGGAAAGCTTTGTTTAATTGACAAGAGGATCATGGGATGAGGGATTGGCAAAAGGGTTAAAGAGGGAAGAAAGGTGGTTAGTATTGTCGCAAAAGAGTCCCAAGGAAGGTGGATCAAACATGACCAAACTAATTGGGGGGGTTGTTTCTGAAAAAGTTGACATGATACAGTAATACATAACACGTGATTTGCAGGGAGGTCACACTCCCAGGCGGTGAAAAAAACAAAACACATTACATCTGGATTGACCGCAGTGGGTCAGACTTCCGCAGTCGTGGCACTCCACGGGGAGTGGATTCCGCACACAGTCAAGTCGTTGCCTGAGGATGAAGGTAGATGGTGCGGTTCTCAGGCTTTTGTCTCAATTTGGTCCTGAGCGTCTTGGTCGCTTGGGCGGTTGTTTTCGTGCTGACTGCTTGTGGGCTGCGTTGGGCGGAAACTGTAGAGTATCATATCTAGTGGAAACCCGTTTGTACTATCTATACATAAGGGGTGTTAGGGGATACACACTAAAATGTTGGAAGGAAATCAAAACTTGATTTCAGGACCCCTCTTGGCTGCAACCTCTATTTTCTGCGAAGGTACACGTACTAGACTGGCAAATCAGTGGGCGCCCTACATGGTCTCTAGCAGTTACAGGGCCCATCTGTCTCAGACTGCAGCAGGTGAGGATTGGCGATTCGATTCTTCCGACAAGCTGTGTCTTTGCTGGGTCAATTGAGTTAGAAAGACACAGCAGCTAAGAGCTATGTCGCAAGTCTGCGATGAAGAGAACAACCGGACCAACCGGACCATGAAGCCCTATCAAGCTCCGCAAAAAGAAACTGATTGGCACCGGCCTGTGCAACGTGCACTAAAGGAAAACCATCAGAAACAATGTGCAACGTGCACACGGACGGGAACCAACGTGCAGGGGAAGAGGCTCATGGGCAGTGGCTTTGATCTCCACCGAAATGCTGTGAGTGCAAGCCTTCTTGCCACTCTGTCGCAAGCGAGCCAATTCTTCCTGGCGAGCGAATGACATCGAACGAACACCTGTCGTTCTGCGACACTTGTCGCAGCTATCAACTTTCAAGAGTGCATCAAGACCATGCAAAAATGAGGAGTGAGTTCCTCTACCCGTACCCTATGGATCCACACCTTCTCAGGTTCGGTATGTGGGCTCTCCAAGCCTACATCAATAGTCTCCAATCACCGTACCTCAGGTTCGGTATGTGGATCCCTAGGGTCTATAGAAAAACCGTGTGATGCTTGGGGTTCCGAGGCTACGTTTTGGACTGTTTCCTGGCGACCCAAAAAAATGACGGCAGCTGCACGACGGCAGCGCGCGGCACATGACCGGGGTGTCATCAAGTTCTCTCTCCGTCCATTTTTGGTTCCATGGCGCAAAGCTGTGTTCAGTTAGTGGGCACTTGCCAGATCGAGCGCGCAAAGTGTCATTTCATGAAGCATGAACGTCTGGCTGCACTTCCGCCTCAACATACTGCATGATATTGATCATGATCATCATACTGCCTCAACATAGGGATTTCTGATTGATATTCATCGACCCCGGACCATGGCTCTGCCCTGTGCCACTGTGGTACAAGTCTCGGCCGCCCCAAGTCGCTCATTTTTTCGGGCCTCGGGTAGACTTGATGCCTTGCTGTGAGGAAGCTGCCATCTTCACCTGGATCCCTTGAAAAGCATGCGAACCGCGAGGGTGCTTGCACCTACCCACTCCACAGTCTCAAGATTTCCCAATGCACTCTGGGCATACGAATCAGAAGCATGGTAGCAGCCTATGACGCACTGGTCGAAAGACAGGAACGAAGCACATTGTACAGGTTTGAGCATCTACCATGCATGCTTCCCAACCTCGTTGTCTGCACGTTGGCCTCCCGTGCAATCTCGATCGCCATGTCCGCTACGGGATGACGCTCCGGCTTTGCCGACACTTTGTATACCCTCCCTCCAACAATCATGGAAGCTGACCAGGACCCCCTTGTAAAGGAAAATGATCTTCAAGGGGCCGAACAGTTCCACTTCCATGATTGTTTCAGGGAGTGTAAGAGTTGGCAGTGGGATGATACAATGATCGCCCTCCGGATTGTAATGCTCCGGAACCATCTCGGAGGTTGCGGAATGCCTGCATCAGCTGAGCCATTCCCTTGCTGACTTGCGTCCAACCCTTGGCCATGTTCTCCACATAGAGTAGTTGCCCTGGGAGCGCGTTTCCGAGCGCTTGCATAGATAGTCAGTTATCACTGCTACCATGAGTTTCGTCGAATCCGTTCCTCAAATATGAGTTATAAGGAAGGCTGATGGATGGTCTGATCCAGTGTTTCCTTTGCCATGGAGGCTGGGTGACTCGATCTGCCATCCAGCTGGTTCCAATCCTCGGTGCTGCGTGATCTGCTTGACTGCAGCACGACGTGGTGCGAAGCCACCTGAGTGGACATCCAACAAGTTCAACAGGCTCAAGAGGCAACTGAACGTGTCCCCGTCCAGAAAAGCAAAATGGGTCAACAAGACACTCTCTTTCTGAACGGCCCTGAAAACCCCTCGAAACGGTATCCCAAGTGGCCAATCTGTGGGAAGAAATGCAAAAACAGTCAAAATTGGAGACACCCATATCAAAACACAACTCAACATCTCTCGCCCAAAAGCTGCCCTGCGCAAAAAGACAACAACGCATCCCTGTGGATCTACATTACCTAACCTGAGAAGGTGAGCAGGGCTACACTTCCTTTCAAGGGTCCAGTCGTACTGAACCCGAGGTACGGTGGCAGTGTATTTTTTGGGTGTCAGGGCATGAAGAATATGGGTACATATGGGTGTCGCCTAAAAAGCTGCAATATGCATCCCGAACCCAGTTCTCTTTTGGTGGCAGGGCATCATTTCATAGGCCTTCTTCCTCCCTCCATGCGAAACAAACAAGCCGTTCCGAACCTCGCGACTGGGCCGCACGATCTCAGGCTCCTGACAGAGGTGGGTGATGGGGGGAAGATGAGGATCTCTCCCGGCTCCTGGCCTAGCTCCTCAACTGATATAGGGATCATACACCAGGACCTTTAAAAGTCCGGTGGTTTTTGGACACCTCTTAACCTCTAAGAGGCTATTTAGAGACACCTGGTAGTTAGGTCCTTAGTAGTTAGGGATTAATTTAGAAGTGTTGGATAGGCGGGATTCCGTATCTTCACCGCAAACGGCGCGTTCGGGGCGCGTTCCGAACGACCACTTGACCAATGGAGTCGGAATGTTCGCCATGGGGGTAGGGGCACCTTATCGGCCCAAGAAAAAGATGGATGCTTCTCTTTCAAAGTCTCCAGCAGTTTCTGGTAATAAGACTCTTGATATATACAGAACCTCTTCATTTAGGACCTTAGGATGGTATATATATATATATAGTACTCAAGAGTCTATACATTAAGTACCCCTGAAACTCGGAGGTTGTGATCTCCTTCCTGTGAAAGTGGCGCAACAAGATCTCAAAAACAAACAAGTGGGGATGGCTGTTGTACCCTGTTTAGCCATCTAAAACAAGAAGATCAAACACCCCAAGGTTATGGCCTATGATGGTCTGTGTTGTTCAATCCTTTTCCTTTTAGACTTTTAGTACCCTAGGAATCCAACCTCCATTCATTTAAAGGTGTTTACCGCACAATCTTTTACTGATTTCCTTCTCAGAAAAGGTGCCAAACGGAAGGCTTATACAGGGAGTAATGACATATAGACCCTCAAAAAGATCCTAAACATGCATTGGAAATTGGAAACCGTTCCTGATTCTATGTGTTTCTATTTGTACACAATTTACATTAATTTACTATCGATTTGGGGTAGCTCTCGGGTCGAGCGCGGGCAAAGAAGGAACCACCTCGAATCCAGCGAGCCACGCTTCGCGCGCCACGCCGAGGTCGCTTCCGGCTCGGTGAGGCGTTTGGAGCCGCTCTCGGTCTCTTCGTCCACCTCCACCTCGAAGGCGAACGCGTGTGGAACGTCCCATGGAAGGCAACCACGCGGAGTGGAAGAACCGAAAGAAGACAGTTTCGACGCAAGATGCAGGTCTTTGGCGCTTCCGGAAGAGACGGCGTGAAGCGCAGGAACCCGACCGGTCTGGAGACTTCACATTTAGAGGCAGCAACTGTTACATGTTGGTTCGGTCCAAAATCCTAGTTGTGAGGGTCTAACACCATTCTAACATTCCTTTCCGAGCCTTTTGAGTACAAAGCATTTAAGCAAATGCACTCACGACACATTCACATGTCAAACTCCGGTCCCATCAACCATCATGTCACAAAGGGTCTTGAAGACACTGCGGAGGCTTGGGCCCATCGAAGCCAACCAAAGAAGTTCAATCCAAGACCATCCCAATGACCAAACTCAAGACATAAATTCTTGATGATTCCTTTACAGTCTCTGTAGACTTCTCATCCATCAAACAACTTGAAGTTACTGCTCATGGTCACATGGCCTGCTCAACCAGCAGTTCTTGACCCAAGCTGCACCTGTCCGGTTCCCGTTTGTCCATCTTCGAACCAAGGGGCCGAGAAGGCGTCTTTGATGGCCTTCAGCAGCCGTGGTACCAACGGCTTGGGCTTCGGTGCCTCCGACGGCTTCTTTAAGACCTCAATCTCTGGGAGGCTGGGAGAGGACCCGACGTTGCAGGTGCTTCAACTGCACCGGTGCTTCAACAACAGGCAGCGATGTTGCTGAAAGCCTCTCTTAGTGAATCATCGTTGAAAGCCTCGAAGCCGTCCAAGGGCCTACAAGTCTTGAAGTAAAATCAAAACCTCAACTGGTCTTGGGGTCATGAGTCATGCCATAATTAGAGGTTCTGTTTGTGTGTAAAAACTGATGACTTCTATTCTGTATATCACGCGAAAGTCAAGTCATCCTACGGACATCGTGGATGTTCTTCCATAGGGTGCCAGGTGCATCCCCAAACATCTCCCAAGACCTCAGGATTATCCAACCTATGAACAACATGGCCACCAAGATAAACAGCCATGATTCACCCACCATCGTTTTTTCAAACACCAAACGTCGCCATAACCAGCCTAGCTGTGTCACGCCAATACCGATACCTGCCAAACATGTGAGACGTGGTGCGGTCGACCGCGGTCGAGAGGAGACGTGGAGCGTCCAGTGCATCGCCCGAGCCGATCTGCCGTCCCAAAGCCTCGTGCAAGATCCACGAGGGGATCTCTTTACCCGTTGACTCCAAAGACATGGGGAGGTTGGCTTCATGGGTCAATGTCGGCGCCAGATTCCCCATCGATCGTCTTTGGTCATCCTCGCCCCACGCCCTTGGGCCCTCCGATCCCGTTTCGAGTTGTTCTGAAGACACACCGGTAAAGACCAGCCGGTCCCCCGGCCCCAGTCGCGGGCCTCGCCCCTCCCTGGACGAGGGGCCCAATCAGGGGGCTCCAGAATGCCCGTGGTGTCCTTCACCGTGATGCCTCGGTGCCGGCAGGGCGCGGCGCAAAGACGTCCACAAGGACGTCGCCGTCGCCGTCAGGCTCACGCACCCCCCCCACCCGTTTCGGAGAAGGTGGGACTGGGGTTGGGTGAGTGTGGGGGTCTATAGCCACCTTCTGAGGAGATGGTTGGAGCATAGGGTTTAGGGTTGAGTCAATGCATGGTAACACAGACACACAAACACGACCGATGGGACTGCCATGCTTGTTGGGAGGGATCTGGGGTCTCAATTTTTTGGGGTTTGAGGGGCCTGTGGGAAAGTATATCAACATCTAGACCATTCATGATCATGTACACCGATGCATACCTCAACCAACACATGGCATGGTTCACATGAAGGATGCGGCCAGTTCAAGGACTTTTCATGTCGTACCTTCTCAGAAGGTACGACTGGACCCTCCTGGCGCCTACATAAGAGTGTCGAATACATTACCGTACCTGAGAAGGTCCGATCTGGATCTCTATAGGGATCATATCGACCTATTTATTGAGATGCCAGTACAAACACAGGCCTTGCAGGGTGTGAAGGTGAACCAGACCCTGGTTGTCGGACAGCTTTGTTCATATTTCTTTGGCAAATCTCGATCGCTAGACACCCATGTCGAACATCGAAGTGCTTTGCAAGCCCTAGGGCTCCAAGTACCTCCTCAGAAGGTGTCTGGACCCTCTAGACCCACCCTAAACACCTTCTCAGAAGGTACTTGGAGCCCTAGGGAAGGTTTTGTTGTGATCTTTTTAGGTCATCGGCTTGCAAGCTTGCTTGTTATACTCCAGTGCTATGTGGATTTGGCAAAAGAACCATTGCGGCAAGAAGTTGGTCTCTCTTCAAGGACCACTCAAGGCCAAGAAGTGTTTCCTGCAGTGAAAGCCTTCTTCTCCAGCTCCTCCAGCTCAATTACCACTTCCTAGAAAAGCTGACAACCACGGGACTATCGGACTATAGCTCTTGTAGTTCGGTCCTGCCACATCTTTTTGCTCTCTGGGGCAATGTCATTTGTCAGTCTTGAAATATCCATGTGGCAACTCGCGCTAAGCTCCAGGATACTCTTCATAGAACTGCTTCAATCGAGACGTTTGAACCAGCCCATGCATTGCGAGGCCCATGTCAAACTGCTCAGTCAACGCTACGTCAACTGGGATGCACCAAGCAACAAAGCGAATTGCCTTCCATCCCTCGTCGAATTCTATGCTGCCACCATCCGGGTGGTGCTTGAGAAGGTCGCGCGAGAGATTCTTGAAATACACACTCCTATCAACCTGACAAGTGACATTTCAACCAGAACCTCCAATCTCCCGCCTTCAGAGTTGGACATCTTCAAACGCTTGTTCAGCAAGCGTTACTAGGTGACAGAGAGGCCATCTCCTTCACCTTACAAGGCCGTTCGCGGCTGGGAGATCTCTATTGCCAAGCGAATTCTCTTGTCAAATTCTATGCTGCCAACATCCGCGAAAAAGGTATACTTGTTGTGAACCTGCAGGTCACACGAACCAGCCAATGACCACGTGCAGCTGGGGAACAACTTCTCAGCATGTCGTTTCACGGCCGTAATATCATCAACTGGGTAGGGGACACTTGGGAGGAATGCATCAGCAAACACTCCAAACCTTTCGTTTCTATCGCAGACTCCAGCAAGGTCAAGCTCGACACACGCCGTTCCTGGACCGCGTATTGTTCTTGTTTCAGGATCTATGGGCCGCTGGAGGCATGGCCCATGGCTGCCCGAAGTCCGGAGCGTCCATGTGGCGCTTTCGGACACATGGCCACAGACCAAAACTGACGGTGTTGGAGGCCATCTGAGCTTTTTGGGGGATGTCCAAAGGCCTTGAAACGGGGAAACACATGATTCTTTAAGCACCAAGTTCACCTCTGTCCGCTTTAGACTTCGGTGACTCAGCCGAACTCGGGAATCGGCCGCGGTCTCGTACTCTCCAGCCTCCCGTGCAGCTGAGAGGCGGCCTTCAACCATGAGATCGAAGATAAAGGTCGTACCCCAGGCAAACTCGATCTAGGCAAAAATGCAGGGCAGTCGACCCAGTTTGGGCAGAGTGACATCACAGGTGGGGCCGGTGCCAAGCAAATGAGAACCATGCAATGCTGTGTATGTAATGATTATGATATATATATAATGATTTAGCCAGCTTCTCATCTTCTTCCATCAACAAATTATCCTCCGACGTCGGGCAACCCCAAAACTATGCAGAACCAGACCCCCCCAGATCCAGGTCCTGAGCCGTTCGTGGATCTAGTTCGTCTCTGTTTGTGTTCTTTGACGGGGGACCCAAAATCCTGGGATATCAAGTTCGGTCATGAACAGGTCAGGTCCTGGAACCCTGAAAAAAATCCTTCAGCTTGCTTCAGGGTTTTCAATGACCTCCCCCTCCCGAATGACGAACAAACCATCTGACACACAAGAAGAGGCTCAGCAACTTAGGTCCTATACCTCTAAAAGAAGCTGCGCCTCCCGCTCTGAATTCCACCTGTCCCTGGTAGTTCTTCTCAACCAACGCTGCGATGGCTTTTTCTATCGCCTCACAGTCCCTATAGGGCTCCAGTCGTACCTCCTCAGGTGTTTGGACCCTCCTGGCACCGCCCCCAGTCCCACCTTCGAAACGAAGGCACCCTCCTGAAGCCCTAGGGTTCGTGTCACCACTTCATCAATCCAAGGAGCCACTTCGCCAGGAGTCAATCGCACCACCATCCTCTCCTCAGTGCCGAGGGACACATGGGCTCGGTCCATGCGACAGGGAGCAGTGTCCGTGGGCAGTTTGGGCTCGGAGGATTGGGGGCATGGAGGGGAGAAGAAGAACACACGAAAGGAACAAAGAAAAAAGGCCGCCAGGAGTCACAAATTACGGGGTGGTGTGGCTCGTCCCCTTACGTGAGTGGAGTAGCTCCATGGATAGCACCCCGTCTTGTGACTCCTGGGGGATGCTGTTTCTGTGGTGTTTTGTTTTTCAGACCGTTGTTTGTTTCTTCTTTATCCAGCGGTCACAAGACGCGGTGCGATCCATGGAGGTAGTCGGGGTGCCCGAACGTCACATCCACTGGATGGGATCAAAACACCACCCCTTAGTTTGTGACTCCTGGATTATGGCTTTGCATTAGCCCCAAAGACCTTCCCTACAAATACTTGGACCTCCAAGATCATCTGAAAAAGGAGGTAATAAGAGCAAGTCTGTAGGTACTGCAACAGTCACACTGATCATCATAACAACTTTCACCCATCAGAATCAGCCTCCTCAAAGCTTCTTCCAACCCGGCATGCTTTTCTTTTGCCTGGTGGAACGCTTCCATGCTTGTTGGTTCCGGTCCCTCACCAAGCGACATGGCCAGTCTTGAACTGCTCCTGCACCATAGGTGTCTTCTCTTCCATGTCCTCAGCCGCGAAGTTCCACCGCCCACCGCCCAGCTGGTCCTACCGCCCTCCGGTGGAAGCGACGGAAGAGACGGGTCTGGCACCGCGGTGCGGAGGAACGCGGTCGAAGCAAACGACACCTACGTCAAAGCGACCTTCCAAAAGGTCCCAGGGGATGCCTATGGTTTGGTCCAGGGGGGCAGGGCTCTTGGCCAACTAGGCTGGGCCGGTAATGGATCGCTACACGAAACTACACTCTTTGATCAAGGGACAAGGACAACCCAGGAGCATTCCTGCAAAAACTTGCTGTAAGTTTCACAAGCTGCAGCCTAAACACAATCAATCTTATCAACAAAAATTGATCTGCATGGTTCTGCATAACGCCTGCCCCAATGTTCACAAAAACTCACCCGTCATGCCTTGTTTGGCAAGCAAATCATAAAGGCCTAGACTTACGGAAAACAGCACATCGTGTGTTCTTTTTCACTTGCAGAAAACAGCATAACTGCATAACGTTTTGTTTTTCACTGGCCAGGCCTGCTGTGTTGGTAGCACATTGATTCATCCAAATGCACGAAGTTGATAATGACTCTGCAATGATGGCTTTTGTGGGCAGTGTCTATTGCTTGGGAAAACGCATGGAGGCTGTGTGATTATATAATCATTTCAAACATGTTCGGGTGCTGGAGAAATAGCCGTGCCCGTGGGCTCGTTCCTGATATCGCGGCTTGTCAGGATGCAGGTGAAATGCACCAACATCGCAGAAATAATATGTTCAGTCTAGATCTGGTTTCATATCCACAAATTCCAGCACAATGCAGCAAGAGCAGGATCTGACACTCCTAAATGCCCAGCATTGCCCAGCAGTTCCAACGGTCTCCAAACAAAAACCATACCCAGGCTGCCGATTGGAGCGAACAACACGTCTGTTCGACGTCACCGTCGTCACCGTCGTCAGCTCGCCGGCCCGAGGCTCATATCCAAGCTCTGCGATGAAGACGGGAACCCCTCCTAAGACCGAACTTGAACGAGTCTGTCCAGGGAAGCCACCTTCAAAAAGCTGTTAACCATCTATTCCCTACCGAGGGGCCCACAAACCATGAAAAAAAAAACTGGTTGTCCCTAGCAACAAGCATGGTTTTTGTATGTGAAAACCTTTCTTTTTCATGGTTTTCAGTGGGATATACAATAGCAAGTCAATCACATAGTATATAAGGGACTGTGGTTGTATACGCCAGAAACAAAAACATCACACTATAAGGGAAAGTAACTAAACATCACCCCTCAGTAACACAAGCCTTCTATGATCTTCTATGTGTTCATATGTTTTAAACACTATGCTATAAGCAAACCCAGGAAAACGACCTCAACTCCGCACCTGGTTTGCTTTGCTGGCCGCCTTTTGAAATCAACGAAATGAAGCCAGTTGAGATAGTGCAAATTCTGCTGGAGCTGTTGGTCGCGCAGTCCAAGTCTGATATCATATATTGGACTGTTGGACAAACCTGCATTACATAGAAATTTGTACAAGTCCTCCGGTTTTTTTAAACACCACCGGAGGAGCCTTTTGGGGTACCGCAGTGTTTCGTGAAACCCTCACCCCCCCAAGTCTGTCGCAAAGCACTACAATCCCTGGAACTAACATGGAAGTGAAAATTGCCTCTTGGAAGACAATTTTCCTCTACAAACAAGGGCTTTTCACTTTCATCTTAGTTCCAGGGAGAGTATGAAGAGCAGCACAACTCTCCTGATGTACACATTAAAGCCGAGATGCTGACGAAGTTACAACCTTAGTCTTGCAAAAACGGCACGAGCAAAGTCTGTCGCACATCCCTTTCAACTCTCTCACCATGGCTGACTTCGTGAGGAGGCGCATCACTAGCCAAGTGACCCATCTTTGGAAGGGGAACCTGTAAGAAGTCCGCTGTCCTCCAGCTGCTTTGTTTGAACAGCAGCTCTCAGAGGAAGCAGCGGATCGCACGTTCCGAAGACTTCTTTCGGACCGTCCAGAGCGTCTTCACGCGCGATGCACTGGTGCCAATCACCCTCTGGCTGAGACACCCATTAACTTGTCTCAAAGTAAGTGGACATTTCTATATCCTATAAAGTCTTCCAGGGAGTGGATGATGACTGTTCACCTGCAGGCCTTAGTTCGAATATAATGATGTTCGTGTGGATCCTGACGGCTCCACAGATACAGGGAGAAGCCCAAGTGGTTTAAGAGGGAGATTCAAGGAGCAGCGAAAACAACGCACCGTCAAACAGAAACAGCGTGCACCTCCAACACAGGTAGCTGAAGGAGCCGTTCGGCTATACTACAAGACCTTATACTGGGTTATAGACTAATACGGACTATCCCATAGATAGGTACCCTATGGTACCCTATACCCTATGGTTCTTACCCCAGGTGACGGGGTCCTTTTTCATGTCTCTTAACCTCTCTTGGCTCCAAACAACCACGGTCAATCCTGGTGAATCCACTGGCCTAGTCGGCCCGCGATCCGTGCTGTTCTGAATGAACCGGTGGGGAGAGAAAAGGTCGGAGGAACCAAGGGCGGAGGATTTCAGCCTCCCCTCTCTTCGCTCTCTTGCTGGCTTCACAAAGGCGGCCGAGCAGCCCAAGTAATAGACCTGCGCCCGTTCGCTCATCTGATTCGGGCTGCGGTCGTCAAACATGCTGTAGCGGGCCTCGTAATTTTTGAACCTCAGATCGGTGATGACCACAGGACCGACGTTCGGGGACGAGGTCCGAGTCCTTAGGAAGTGACCCAAAAGCGAAGGTGATGGAAGTGATGGAATAGATCAACACCTATTCAACACGGTTAAAGCCAAGGTTGCCCCAAATTCTTCGGACACATGTCTTTTTTCGTTGTCCTCCTTTGTCTTTGGTTCTTAGACACCTATAACCACCTATAGTGCATGACGCCCAATGTGAAGAATATAAAATATTCTTATTGCCCAGACGCTCATGGGCCCTCATATGCAGGGGTCGGACCCTCATATGGAGAGGTCGGACCCTCAAAACCCTATGGTTTTGAGGGACCCAGTCGGGCTGTGAACGGAGCGTCTGGGTGCCTGAAAAGAAAACACCAACGACGCCGAGCGTTTACCATCCAAACATCATGCCAACTGGCAATGAGGTTTCAATGGAGGTAGGAGTTGGGTGCCCAGCTACTCCACTCACTTGGGGACTGAACACCACCCCTTTGTGACTCCTGGTAGATCCATCTTTTCACCTCTTTCACATGTCAATCATCGATCAGCTGGACGTGAATCGAGGTCGACGTCACCGGCTGGTCGGCTGGACGCCGCTGGCGGGAGCGGTCTTTCAACGGGCAGAAGGGTGTAACGAGACCAGCGGCAGGCTGTTTACGGTACGGCACCAGGGCCCCCTGCTTGGGGTGGTTCATAGACACCCAAACAAACCTCATCAAAGGGGCCATGATTGGATACCCCATACGCGGGGGGCCTGGTATAGAGATTCTCATCATAGCAGTGAGTCGAAAAAGACATGTGTTCGCCCCTCGGTCCGACCTGAATGTTTTGGGACATGCAGCCATGTTCCATTCGGGTGACCACTGATGATCAGCCAGGAACCAAATCAAAAGGGACATACCTGGAACTTCGTTACGGCAATAATAATTGCCGTTTTCATGAAACGTCGCCTTTTTCCCGTTCTGCGGCGTTCTTCCATATTGATCTCATGGGGACGGCGTTTCTTGATGAACTGCGGCAGTTTCGGTCAGTTGACGGCAGTTTTGGTCCACACATCCATGCGCCTCAAAGAGTCATCTCGTTTTAGTTTTAGTGCAGGCGAGTATGAAAACATTGTAGGGTCTTGCTTGAAAGGCAACTGAACGTAAAAGGCGTCTTATTATATCAGCAGACTCGCATAGTCATGTGAAGTGGAAAGGGCAGCTGATGGAAGTGTCACATGCTGGGTTTTCTTCCGTTTTCGCGGGTAACTCGACCTCTTGCGCGGCGTTGCAGAAGATTTTGCGTTTAAAGTTACGACGTTCTTACCCGTACTTGCGGCGTTTTTCCCCGTACTTACGGCGTTTTTCCCCGTACTTACGGCGTTTTCCCCCTACTTACGGCGTCGTTCCCTTACCCTGTCTAGGGTCACTCAAGGTGGCAGCAAGACTTGTCACAACATGTCACAAGCGATCCTTTCGGCCATTGCATGATCAAAACGTGAACAAATCCTGCCGTGATGTCAATCGAGACCTTAGAGAAGGGCTGCAACATCTTGAGAAGTGCTACCATGAGGCTTGAAAACGATGAGCTCTACTTACAAGTGAAAAAGGAGAAGGCAATTTCAGGGTATGGACGGACCAAAACAATATCCTCTTTGGTAGATCAAACAAAACGGCGATTCTTCTTTTGTGACGGCGTTTTCACTTCTCTGACGGCGTTTTCACTTTCCAGGGATTGAGCTACGGCAGAAAAAATGAGTTACGGCAAAAATTATTGCCTCAACAGCCTACGGCAAAAATTATTGATCGGGAGGGTCTAGGTATTGTATACACAGCTTCGAAGTACTCAATCGAAAGCAATCAAAAACCATCAAAAACCACTAAGAGTTCAAGATCCCTGATAACTTCTTTTTCGATCTGCTCAACTCACCGAGTTCCGCGCTCTGTTTCATCGAGCGCTTTTGCGGCGTTCCTCCGCATCGATCGGCCGATCCCAGGCCAGGCACTTGGTGAAGAGCCGAACCCCGCCCAAGTTGTTGTAGAGATCCTGAGGAGAAGACCCCCTTCTTAACGAACCGAAACATCGAATCCAATAGGACAGAGGGGATCGGAAGGGGCTTGTGATTGGATGGAACAAATACAAACAAGGGCCACAAGGTGTCCTTTCCACCGGGAGAGAGGAACCCTCCCCTCCAGCTTCGTGCGCCCCCGCCGTGGCGCGGCTTAGGAACCCTCCATGCTGCCGCGGTGGGGTTCGCCGCAGGTCGCCTGCTTCTTGCTACCTGGGACTTGTCCTGGACTCCAGTTGCTTGAAGTTTCATGGATCGCCGCAAGTCGCCCGTTTCGGGCTCCGTTTGGGGGTGCGGCGCACTCATGCGAGCCATGCGGTCGGCACAGGTCTGGCTCTGGAGATCCACAAGTGGTTGGTTTATCCCGGATGGGCTTCCTGAGCGGTCGGCCCATCTCCTCAAGTGACCGGTGCTATTCGACCCCCATGGCACCGACCCCAACCACCGAACCTCAGGAGGGGGCGGCCAGGAGCTGGTCGCGAGCTGGAGTCAACAAAGGTCCCCGTACGATCCATCCCCGTACCTGAGAAGGTACGACTGGATCCCTTTGAATAGAATGTCAATCATGTTCAACTTTATAAATATACATCATGATGCAGGGAATCACCAACATTATACATCATAATTCCCTTTATTCAATCATGATAACCACTGGATAATAATCCCCTGCAACAATACACTGAAATACACTGGAGATATTCCATGAACATCTCCTGTTTGTAGAGGAAAAGTCTTCTGATGGAGCCCGTTGTCCACCTCCCTGATCACTGGAAGGGCCTTGATTGACTGCTTGAACCGCATTTGTCCCTTCGGAATCATGTAAACAACTACACCCCTGAAAAATGTCACATGCTCATTCACCAACTGAACATGAAACAGCTTCAGACTCGCCCATACTCATCACACCATATCACCCCTATTCAGGTGTCTTTCGGCAGACTGGAGCCATTGAGCCATAACACCTATTTGATCTATTGCGCTGTCAATCCTCAATTGGGGAGCCTTCTCTTCAAATACCCTATCTTACCCTGCTAGACCACCAAAAGTCATCCAACTAAGCTTTTCATGCTGCACCAGCCAGTAACCCCCCAAACAATCGTAGAGTAAACTTCAGCTTTTACCACTGGACCCTACAACAATTTAAGGTCTTTGTGCAGTGCGGGGTTCATCCTCCCAGCCAGGGGATTTGAGACAGTCAGTTCGCATCTCCATGCCCAGGCTCCACATCTATCTCTCGAATCTCCTTCACCGGCTCTCCCATTTCCTAAGAACATCGATCCGCATCAAAAGAGAAAACTGCACAAAGGACCTCGGACCGAGGTCAGCTCGGACCTCTCCTCCTCACATTGGTCGAACATCGCCCCAAAACAATCTTGCTCAGCAAGTATTTCAATCAGCACACGCGGTCAAGTGGCAAAAAAACTGCGGCCATTCTGTACTTGAAAGAGGTTGTTGGGACATTTGTTACTGAGCCCCTGAGGTTCCAGTTGCTTCAAGCGCAGTTACCCAACGCCACCCAGGGACTGGATGCTTCTGATACTTAAGCTTGATATAACCATCTGATGGTACACGTAGGAGCTCGCGGGGTCTGAACTGGCTACTGCTGACCTTTCTTCGCGCCAGGTTGGCGATCGAGCCACGTCTCGGCCATCCACCTCGATGGAGATCCATTGCCTCTGGAGACGGCGGACGGTCGTGGCGGACGGTCGCTCCGTTCGTAGTAAGGCCAGGAGCCCGCGTTCGTGGCGAACCTTGTTACTAATAGCATTGGGTCCATCTACAGAAATTCCAGAGGTTGAAGGAACCCGACTCTTCGACTCTCCCAGTTGGGTAGCCTAGTAGGGTCTCAGTTCAGGTCACTGAAACCTCTCTGGGTTGGTCACCATGATTCACCCCGAAGTTGGACAACACTGCCACTCACCCCCATGAGCAGCTCATTTCGGGCGATCACCCCGATTGAGGTGACTGGAAACTTCGTCCGGCTCGGCGATCCCCACATTTCCCACATTGCATTGACTCCCCTGGCACCACCCCATGTAGTTTTTTTGTGCCAGTCCCATTGAGTGTCTGGGTATAGCTTATTATATAGGATCTTATAGAGATACCTGCCACACTTCAAAACATCAAAAGCAGTAAGTGAATGGACTTGCTCCAAAAACCGCCTGCCTCCAAAGCACCGTTCCATGTGCCTTTAGGGATACCCACTATTCAGGATCTCGTCTCCAAGTTCGTCCGAGCACATCCAATTCGACGGAGAAGCCCATCGAAGCCTTCGTGCCAATCTAGCAAACAACCATAAATAAATAATAAACCCCATATAAAATATATAAACCCCCTATATTATCCATCCAATCCCTCCTCCCGTGCTTGCTGTTTTTCGCCGTTTCTGCAGGCCACGCTGCCGGCATTTCTGTGGTTTGGGCGCCGTCGACATGATCTTTGGTTTGGGATCGCTGCGGATGGCGCCAGCGCCCTTGGCGCCCAGCAGCAGAAGCAACTTGGTGGCCGTGTCATTCCACGGGTGTGTTGAATTCAACAGGAAGTAGGTGGGTTGGAAGCCATCACTGAAGGCGAAAAGGGATTCCTTTGGGACGGAGTTGTTTGGGGGACGGGAATGTTGGAGTCCAATGACCGGTGAAAGCGGTGAATGTCGTGACCCAGGAGGTGCTGATGCGCCTGATGTGGGGCCGACGATGGCCTAGGAGGTACCGATGACTGCCACATGAAAGAAATCGCAGCCAAGACCTCTTGCAGTCGAAATTCACATGGTGCAAACATAAGAACACTTCATGTTTACATGTAAAATATGTAAAAGGCTGTAATATGTGTTGCTTGGGGGGTGATCCGGTTCCCCAGCTGGCTGCTCGTCCGTTGCCAGGCGAGGTCAAGTCTTCTTTCGTAATCATTCCTCTTGTCACTATAATCTAGCAGCACTTTCCAGCAGGTCTCCTCAGGTGTTTGCAGACTTCAAAGTCGCAGGAGGGGGACCTGTGGATTCGGCTCCTGGCCTTGAATTCGCATTTGGAACGTCTTCGCCATCGTCTCACGGTCGACCTGTGTACCGCACCTGTTCGGACCTAGCGTGCCTCCCAAACGCCTGGGTGACTCCACGGTCGGGGTCACTCACGCCGCCCAGGCGCGAGAGGAAAGTGCATCGAGCAAACAACGGAGCAGGCGCAGCAGGCGCTGCTCGGCTACGGAGCGCGGAGGTCCTGCTTCGCCATTGAGCTGAAGACGGCAGAAACGGCAACGGCGAGTGGTCGTTTTTGGGGATGATGTTGCAATGAATGAATCCATGGAGACTTTTAACCCCCATGGGGTTGTATTTATGTGTGTGTATGTATGTTTTGTTGTTGTTCCGACTGTTTCTTTCGTTGCAAGACACCGGGCGACCCCTTCCAGGAGGTGGTTCACTGGTGCAAAATCCAAGCACTGCTGGGTCAAGAGATCGTTCACCCAGACAGAAGATGTGAACAGCCATCGCTAAAGAATGTTTACTTCCTGTATGGGGGGAAGAGTCGAAGACAAGACCGAAACCAAAACCGAGAACAAACTGAGAATCCGGTGCCCCTTCAGCAACACATCTAGGGCTTTGGGAACCGGGCCCTTTTCCCCCACAGATCGGTGGAGAAGGTCGGAAATGGCACCACCGCAATCCACCGCACGTTTTTCCGGCCCAATGATGACCCTCATATGGAGGGGTCGGACCCGAATCCGCCCTGGAGGGGTCAGGGGTCTCAAACCTCGTTTTGAGCACCAAGGGCTGTGAACGGAGCGTCTGGGAGGGTGTGATAAGACGAAAGCACGCCGGATCGGACCAGGATCCGACCACGTTCGCCGGGCTGTGTCCTGTTGAGCGATGTAGCGACTCTTCCACCAGGTGGCGAGTCAGGTTTTGACTTCGGGAAGCAATGTCGGTGAAGTGTGGAACATTAACAACCACACTAGTACTAGTATGTGCGCACCGATACCACATGAAGAAAAGCGCGCTGTGGTTCCGGGCTGACTTGGCCATCCGGGTTTTCCGAGTGCCCGGCAATACCTTGCGGAGACGCGTAGGGTGTGGGACTAAACTCCCTGAAATCATCATGGAAGTGGAGTTCACCACCTGTTTGGTCCTTGGAAAAGGATGGAGTTCCTGGTCCTCCAAGTAGACTCGGGGCCATGCCATCCACTTTGGCCCATGATGAAGACTCAGGGCGTCCCTCCAAACCACTGAGTGGTCATCTGTGGGTGACAAAATGCGGGGTCGCAGGAGGGGAGGCTTTTCACTGAAGCTGATTTTCAGGCTGGGACTGTGCATGGAAATCGTCCGAATTCCACTTAGCATCCAAACAAACATCGCATGAAACATTGCAAACTTCTCTTCTAACTAACGGATTGGTGAATTCATTCCAATTTCCCAGAACATCGAGACCCACAAGTGTCGTTCCTCGTGAGCTACTCACAGATTCATTTGGATGGGCATTTTCCGATACACTGGTGCTGAACTCAGTCCACTTCCACCACGATATGATGCATATGAGTATCCCATCACCAGTGGACATCGATTTCTGGGGATGGATTCAAACATTTGCAACCGCACCACCTGAAAATAATAAAGAACGGCTTTATCAAGTAGCCCAGGAGGGGCTTCCGTAGGTCATTCAACTCACCAAAGGGCCCGTGGAAAATACAAGATCGGGCATCGCCGGGTGGCATCGCCCGATCAACATCATGCCACCTGCATAATTGTCGGTCGGACATTGAACCCCAAATGCCGGATCCAAAAACAGCTGGAGAGACTTCAGTAAACAAAATATAACACAACACAACACAAAAGAATACATGTAAACACATGTAAACACTAGCTGGAGAGACTTCATGTGCATCAAGTCCAAATCCTTTGTGCTCACGAAAGCCCCCAGCCGGCGCCGCCGGCGCACGTGAGCGAATGTCTTCCACGAGTCCATCGCCCCAGGCGGCGGCACTGCCTCGGTCGTTCTTCGCCGAACGACGCCGGGCTGCCGGGACCCCCGGGCTGCCGGCCGCCGTTCGGTCTCCGCGAATTGGTCTCCACCGCTGTACCCAGACTCTATGGGACTGCCAGGACGGACTGCCGAGGAGTCAGGCCAGGGGTGGTGCCAGGGGGGTCTGTCTGGGGCGGCAGTCCGTCCTGGCAGTCCCAGACAGGTCGTGTCTGGGCAAGCTGCACCAGTTCGGTTCTCAGGAGGCCCGAATGAACTTTGAGTTGGAGTTCCCAGGACCAGGTTTACATCCATGGAGGTAGTCGAGGTGTGCTGGTCCACGGCCACTCACTGGATGGGACGAGCCACACCACCCAACTCCATGTGACTCGTGGAATTTTGTATGGTTTTGCCAGTTGGTTATTGAACATATACCCGCGAGGTCCCCCCTCTGATGCATGTGCGAGTTCATTTTTTGCGCAAGTACCAGGAAGATGTTGTGCATGTGCACAAATCCTTGTTACTCTGGTCAGATTCTATTTTCTTGTGGCAGAGCAAGTACCAGGCCTCACTTGATTGAACAACACATGCACCAACCCACTTCGCCAGGTTTCTACGTGTAAAAACGCGTGGCGTCATTTGGTAATAAACTCAAACACATAACTCGTTTAGACTACTTAAATAGGAGGTCATGTCACAGTTTCTCGTTCAGACTACTTTAGTAGCAGATCACACTATCTCGTGCACACTAGTATAGTGTCGAATCAAGCAAAAGTATGTCGTTTATGTGGGGGCAAATACTGATGATAGACAAGCAAATAGAGCATGTCATAGACTACTTCAGCAAAGCCTAAGTAGAAGTGGTTGGTTGCTCATATAGATGTAACAAAGTCACTGTGCCTTTACTGGGTTGGGGCTCCTGGTACAGGTTCTATCCAAAGAGACATGCACAAACCTTAGTCATAATGGGTCAAATGTGGTCAAACAGCTATTGGCCATTGATAATACTGCAGCATAACTGCTTTATATGTATGCAAATCATATTGGATCATTCAAACCTGAAAACATGTTGCAAGTGGAACTCATACACACTTACATCATCTCAGCACATCGATTCTCAAAAATATCCAAAACATCTTCCCCGCTGATCCTTGCCACATCTTGCCCCTACACACACTCCGCGACCCCAATCCCTAGCGATCCAAGTACCGTCTCCCAAGGTACTTGGACCCTCCTGGCACCTATAATGACAGTGTCTCCCTGCTCACCTTCTCCGGAAAGAACAGCGACGAGTGCCCATGTTCTGCGCCGAAGAGCTGTTGGTGTCGTTGAGGGAACGGAGTTGCACCTCCCAACGAAGGAAGACACAGTCGTAGCTGGCGCCCGGGTCCTGGAAGATCCATCGCATGCGTGATGGTTGGTCGGCGTTTTAGAACCCGGTGACCCCGGTGTTCAGTGGATGGGAATATGCCCTACAGGGCTCTCAGGTTCGGTGGTTAGACCCCCCAAACCCACCCTAACCACCGAAGGTTAAGTGGATGGAAATATGATCACTAACAAAGCAAAATGACTTTGAAGGGCGGTTCACTTCCAGGTCTCCGAACTGGTATATTGCCTGCTGGTCTGCTACTAGGACCTAAGCCGTTCGTGACCTCTTCCTGCAGTCTGACCTGTCTTTTACAGGCCTGTAGATGTAGAAGTGACCAAAAATCCTGGGATATGAAGTTCGGTCACGAGCTTTCACAACTTGTTGCCAACTTCAGCTGCTAGGTCTGCGGGTCCACCACCGACTAATAGGCTCACGATCGCTCACTTGTACCAAACAAGGGAACGAGCCCCCAAATAAAAACAAGATGGAGCCCACGAACCCGAATGCAAACACATACGTCAAACCACTGCGTATAAAAAGAGACACAGCCGGTCAGAATCTCTTTTTCACTCTCTGGCACGCTGTTGGACATCATGCGCTGGGGACTCCACCACCAAGGCAGCATGCGCTGGGGACTTCACCACCAAGCTCCGTCTTCATCATGAAGGGTCTTTGTTTTGCATTCAAATCAAGCACTGGCGTGAAGGTTCTGGCAGATCCGCGGCACGAAAGAAACAACGGCATTGTCCCAAAATCTCGAAAATAAGCACTTGAAAATGATAACCGTCCACATAATACAGAGAAATCCACAACTGCGGCGTCTGATCTTCTTGTAAATAGGAGTGTAAGACCGTGCGTTGTTGTGGTTCGCCTGCATCGACAAGAAGTACATGAGACACACACAACGGAAGTGAAGAAAACTATCCTATAGGTTATGTAGGGACACTACTCTTGTGGGACACTCTTGTAGGGCACTCTTGTGGGACACTCTTGTGGGACACTCTTATAGGACACTCTTGTGGGACACTCTTAACTCTTGTGAGACACTCTTGTGGGACACGGTTGCGGGACACTCTTGTGGGACACTCTTGTGAGACACTCTTACGGGACACTCTTGTAGGACACTCTTGTGGGACACTCTTGTAGGACACTCTTGTGGGACACTCTTACGGGACACTGTTGCGGAACACTCTTGTGGGACACTCTGGTGGGACACTCTTGCGGGACACTCTTGTAGGAAACTCTTGTGGGACACTCTGGTGGGACACTCTTGCGGGACACTCTTGTAGGAAACTCTTGTCGGATACTCTTGTAGGACACTCTTGTGGGACACTCTTGTGGGACACTCTTGTGGGACACTC